GCTGAAGTTTTAGCTCTATGATTGGGGATTAATTGCACTTCCTAGCTCATTAATTCAAAAAGGTATGCTATTATATCTTGGAGTCATTTTGGAGTGAACTTTTCCCCTTCTCCTCCCTTTGTCTCTTCGGTTTCCTCTTGGCTTTTGTTGTTCTCGTGGCCCCTGGCTGGTTTCCCGTGCTTTGCCCCTTTGTTTCCTGTGCTGGCTGGTTTCCCGAGCTTTGCCCCTTTGTTTCCTGTGCTGACTGGTTTCCCGTGAGCTGCTGTGAGGGGATTTCGGTGGCTACCTCCCTGTTTTTTGTGCAGAAAATATGGTGATGTTTGCTGCCTTTTCAGCTGCTGTTTTGGGCTATTTGGCTGCTGATTTTGGGCAGCCAGCTGGCCCTCATTTGTGGTTTTTTGGGTGATGTTCCTAGCAGCTTTTTGACCTTCTACATCCCCCATTTTAATGGGTTTAATTAATGATTATAGTGGCTGTTTAGCTACCCCTTTTAGCCTATAAATATGTGGTGTTAAAAGAGTTTATAAGAGTGATAAAAAATGTGATTTTTGGAAGCCTAAACCTATGGGTTTCTTCGTGGAAAAGCTTGCGAGCTTGTTCCATTCCTCCCTTCTCCTAGGAAAGCTCGCGAGCTTGTCCTCCTCTTTCGGCTTCTAACCTACTTCTTCTATCCGCAAGGTCCACTTCATCTGTATCTTTCGTCTCAAGGAATGAAATGCAAGTTTAGGACTTTGTTTTTATGTCATAAGTTTGTATGTGTCGTCATTTTTATAATATCAAAGTTGTGTTTTTATATTTTAATGTTTTGTGTGATCTCCACTATTTGTAATTTTATGTTTTAGTGTATTTTTGGTCTCTAAAATGTTGGGGAGACCTACTGTAGTTTTATATGTTTTTTTGCTTGCAAAAATTAGGCTTTCTCCTAACTTTTGCTTGCATCAATTTGGTATCAGAGCGTGGTTGTCGTGTGTGTCTTGGTGTCATGTAAGTTTTGTTTTTCAGTCATGAGTCATGAGTCATGGTCCATGCAATCAGTCTTCGGAAGCCTCAGGACAAGTTCAAATAAAACTCAAGCTTCATCGGAAGATGAATTCTTTCAACTATGGGAGAATTGATGTAGGCAAGCTTTGGGCTACTTACTACCTCTTGGTTGTGTCCTTGGGATGCTTGTTATTTCTCTGTTTGGAGCCTTGGTTGCTCTCGAATTGGGTCTTTGGCTTCTTGGTGTTGAGCTTAAAAATTGGGTTCTACTTAAGTCTAGCTCATTAATGCTTGAGCTAATGTTAGCTCATTAATTGAAAAAGGTATTCTTCTTGTAAGCTCATTAAAATGAGTTATATCTTGTGCCTCTTCCCCTCCCTTTGCCTTCTCGGTTTTCCCTTGCTGGTTGGTTTCCCGTGCCTTGCCTCTTTGTCTCCTGTGCTGACTTTTTGGGTCTCTTGCTGGCTGGTTTCCCGTGCCTTGCCTCTTTGTCTCCTGTGCTGCTTTTTGAGTCTCTTGCTGGCTGGTTTCCCCTGGACTGTTGGGGGGATTTCTGTGGTCTTCTCTCTAATTTCTATGCAGTTTTCCTGCTGCAACTTTTGTTGTCTTTTGGCCTTCTAGTTCTCTTATTTATTAGGTTTTAAATGAAGATTTTAGGGGCTGTTTGGCTGCCCTCTTTCTCCTATAAATACAAGATGTTTTGGGATAGAAAAGAGGTTGAAATAATGAGATTTTTTTGGCCAAAAACCTGAGAGATTTTTCTTTTTGGAAAAGCTTGCGAGCTTGTTCCATCCCTTCTCCTTCTTCTAAAAAAGCTTGCGAGCTTCTCCTTCCTTTCGTCTTGGCTTCTAATCCCCTTCTTCTCTCCGCAAGATCGACGCCATCAGTATCTTTCGTCTCAAGGAATGCAAGTTTAGGGTTTTATAACAAAGTTTGTATGCGTCGATTGTAAGTAATTTTATTTTATAAAAGTGAATTGTTTTTTTATTCAATTGTCATATTTTATATTCTTTTTGAGAAATTTGAGTATTTTCTATTACCTAGGAAAGTTTAGTTTTTGCTCGCAAAAATTTGGGGCTCGCAAAAATTTGGGGCCCTTCCCGAATTTTTGCTTGCATTAATTTGGTATCATAGCAAGTTAGTATATCCTAGGTTATTGAGTTGTGTTGTTATTTGAGTCTTGGTGTCATAAGAGTTTTTTTTTTTTTAGTCTATATGGATAGTCCATGTAATCATCCTTCAGATCAAGATGAGTCCCAAGGAGAATTTGACCCCGCCAAAGTTACAAATGAACCAACTATTCTGGATGTGAAGATTTCAACTATAGAAGGGATTCCATCTCAAGGAAGTTCTACAAATCCAATATAAAACGAGTTGTATAAAATTCAATATCAAATATTCTTATGTGATGAGAAATACGAAAAAATGAAGAAATTTCTTCAAGACCAATTCGAGAAAGAGCAAAAAGAAATCCTGAAGAAATTCGAGGCAAAGATTCAAGAACTTGATGCGCCTTCTTCACCTCCTCGGAAGATATCTAAATACAACTCATCAGGAGATGAGTTTTTCAAGTAAGGGAGTATCTGATGCATGCAAATGTGATTTTTGGAATAAAAAATCTGAGGGTTTTTGTTGGAAAAGCTTGAGAGCTTTGTCCACTTCTTCTTCTCTATCTTGGGATAACTTGCGAGTTACTCCTATCCTTCGTCTTGGCTTCTAATCTAATTCTTTTTCCCGCAAGTATCCACCTCACTTGTATCCTTCTTCTCAAAGCAACGATTGGCAAGCTCCTTTAGGTTTGTTTGTGTCCAAATTTGTAAGGTGTTTGTGTTCAAGAGTTGTAAATGTCTTTATATGATATAAAAGGTGTCTTTTAGTATTTTGTATCTTTTTGTAGTATTTTGTGTATCTTCTATTATCTAGGAATAATCACTTTTGTTAGCAAGAATTTGAGGCCCTCTCCTAATTTTTGCTTGCATCATTTTTGCTTACCAAATTGATGATGCACAAAATACTACAAAAAGTCAGAACTCGACTAGTGGACAGCCCACATCCTCCACATCCAACCGCAGGCATCTCCTCCACACCCAATGCCTCGAACCTCCCATCCCTAGCCGCCGGCCTACCCCTCCCCACCCTCTTGATTCCCCTTTAATTACACCATTACTACTTTCCTAATTTAGCCCAACTCTTATTAGGAATGTTTTCTAATTCAAATTCAAATAAATTTGAATTTTAAATTCCTTCATAAATAGCCTACACCTATTTTTGGAGATCCCTTAATCATCTAAAATCTGAAATTAATTCAAATTTGATTCTCCAATCAACAATTAATGCAAGGGTCCACATACATCGAATGTGGACACCCTTTCCCCCTCTTCCTTTATCTATTTATTTTCTTTTCCCCTTCCTTCACCCTATACTGTCGGCAACCTTCAATCCCTTCCAAAAATTCCGGCCAAGACATCCCCTCTACCAAGACCACCAACCAATCCTAAACCCTCCAACCTCACCACACCCATCGGCCAAGTCCCCTACCTCCCCTCCAAGACCGTCGGATAGCCCACATCCTCCACATCCAACCACCGGCCTCTCCTCCACACCCAAAGCCTTGATCCTCCAATCCCTAGCCGCCGGCCTACCCCTCCCCACCCTCTTGATTCCCCTTTAATTACACCATTACTACTTTCCTAATTTAGCCCAACTCTTATTAGGAAAGTTTTCTAATTCAAATTCAAATGAATTTGAATTTTAAATTCCTTCCTAAATAGCCTATACCTATTTTTGGAGATCCCTTAATCATCTAAAATCTGAAATTAATTCCAATTTGATTCTTTAATCAACAATTAAAGAAATGGTCCACATACATCGAATGTAGACACTCTTTTCCCCTCTTCCTTTAGTCGGCCCCCTCCCTTTCCTTCTCTCTCCAATTAATTCCCCTCTCTATTAATTAACCCCTTAATCCCTCTCTTAAGCCGCCGGCCCCTCCCACCAATTTCACATAATTAATCCCCCATTAAGGGAGATTTGAATTTCAAATACTTCCCTCCTTTCCACCCTTGAAAATCGAACTAAAATTTCAGATTTTAAAATTGTTTCCTCTCCTTTCTCTAACCCTCAAACTGAACTTGGAGGAGCCTCCCTAAGTCTTGGCCAAACCCCCAAGTTCTTATCCCCTCCATCCTCTCTCTTCTCCCTTGCTTCACCTACATCCCAAGGAAGAAAATACATCAACCCTTAGCTTACTTCCCCCATGAATGGCCGATCATAAACACGATCATGGATTCGTATATGATCTTCAAGGAAGAGTAGATATCCTCCAGTTTCCCTTCTTCAACCCCAACTTGGAGATCGACGACACCATGGACGATTACATCGATCGAATACTTTTTACCTTGACATCGGCCATCGAGGAACATCAAATCTCCGGACAGTGGCGAGTTATTGGACATCCACCAACTTCTTCCCCTCCGGCTAACATAATTATGGGGTTTGTACCTACAATAAATCTTGACACAAATCTAAATAAATATTGATCTAAAATTATAATAAATAAATAAAACATAGTCAAAACAAACTAATATATCTTTAAAAAAAAGACTAACACGTCATGGAGGCTTTAAAGGTTGGGGTGGCTTTTCTTGAGCAATTAAGATTCTCTTCTACTTCAGAAAATAATCTCTTAAGAAAATGAAACTAGCAATACTCCGTTTTCAGCTTGATGAAACTGATAGAAATTTCAATAAATTGAAGTTGTGTCCATTAAAAATCTTCTCGGAAGGCAAGGTCCACCCTACACTAAAGAATGGAATTCTGAAATGATTGATAGCATCTTTTCATGTTTCAGTAGTAGACAATACAGAAAAACTGTAACAGAGAACACTAAATGATAATGATAAATAAAGATATCTCACGTCAGATCTTGTGTGAGCCTTGAAGTGGAATATATTTATCTCATACCAGATGTTGGGTAAGTCTTGAAATGGAGTAATATTAGCCTTCTGACAACACATTACCTGTTTTTGTTCGGCTATTGAGCAGATCTCCTCAAAAGCCTGAAATGAATCAAACCGTCGTATTTCATCTTTCTCCATATAACCTAAGTGACAGTCAGTTGCAATGAGCACCCGTAGAGTATTGATCTCGTCATCCCTGAAAAATTGATAACACCGTTAATAGCTAGCTGCTACTTCATAACAAAAAGGAATTTGTAAGCATTTGCAGCATCCATTCGAAACATCTTCATGTAATATATGAGAAAGGAGCAATATTGATTCTGGTGACACCCCAAGTATGTGATAGGAATACTTGAGGGTGTCATTAGCATAGAAAATGCTAGAAATTGCACGACTTACATCTAATCGTCTGATATTAGCAATCAGAGCCTCCAAGTTTGCTGAGATCCTATTAAGATAAGAAAACTGCAAAAAGTATCGTCATACAAGAACATTTGAATTAGAAAAATGTACAAGAAAATATGCGACCAAAATAAAAATATTAATCTCATTCGTGCCATGTTTCCATGGCTCTGAGGTTATCTAGGTAAGGTAACTAAGATTCACATCTATTCAATAAACTTATACTTTTGCCCATTCAAAATTTAATTCTGATATGAGTAGACGGCATTCTGGCCTTCTGGGTAGTATGATTAAAATGAGTAAAAATTCCTACAACAAATCATCGTCATCCCAAGATGACAGATGACAGCAAACAATTAAATAAAAGAAGAGGACAAAGTTCAAGTGTTAACTTAGTAAGTAAAATAATTATTGTCCTTCCCCAGGCCATTCTTCTATCGTTCCATCTCTCTATTTCCAAACTGGCAAGTAGCTGATGAGAAACCAAATAAAACCCTAAATCCCACACTGTTAAGGGAGTAGAAGATAGCAGAACTTCTTAATTAACCCATAAAAAACTAGAAATTCTGGAAATGGACAAATCAAGGAACTCTGCGGATTCAAACTAGAACAGCAGAATAAACATGAGGAGGAAGGCTGAAGCCACTAAAAATACCTTGTAACGAATGCAGTTGAAAAAAAAAGATAAGACTGACGGAGAGAACCTTACCCCAAACTGTTTGATCAGAACTGAAGTAGCTCAAAGCCATTGCCGATCTCATAAGGAGAAAAAAAAAACCTTTATATCTTCGGAGGGAGGCGGGAACTTCCACGAGAAGAAATACCGCGACTGTGTTGAGAACTGTATAGAATACGACATGGTGGACTCTAGAGGTCCGGTCGAATAAAATTTGGGACCGAGATTACTGTTTTTTTTTTTTACTTTTATTAAAAAATTAAAATATTTTTTTAACGAAATCTAATAAGTTGGAATAAAAATAATTTTTTAGTATAAAACTTTCTAATTCAAAAAATTTTTATACTAAAAAATTATTTTAGAAAGCAGTAAAAAAGTTATCCTTGAGATGGCTTTCTTGTGGCTTCTTAAATAGCTTTTTTAATACAAAAATTAAAATTTTTGTATTAAAAAATTACTTTAAGAAGCAATAAAAAAACCGTCTCAAACGAAATCTAAAGCTTAGTTTGGATGACTTTTGGTTCATAAAAATTGTTATAGTTAAAAGAATTTTTTAATGTTTGAAGGGTTTATGAGAGGAAAATAAAATTCCTAAAGATTATTGAACTTTCACTAAGCATTTCTTATTTTAGAGGCATATATGTGGGCTCCGAAAATTCATGCACGGTGCTTTCCATGCCTTTGTTTGTTGGCGGTGAGAGTTTTAATGAATTAGGTTACGGGATAAATTTTCAAATGACAAATTAGATTTTAGATTATACACTATCCGGAGATTTCGACCTCATTTTGTGAGGACTTTATAATCTGAAGTATAGTTTATGTTATCTTATACTACTTTATATTTAATTAATCTAAATATTGTTCAAAATTAAGTCTTAATTTATTAATTAAAATAAAAGAGTCTTAAGAATAATTTATTTGAACTAAATTCATTAAGTGTTTTATGGGAAAAATATTAATTTCTTAATGAATAATAAGATAAAGAATGTTATATCTATTCCTTCTTAATGGCAACAAATATAAGTTTGAATGTATTTTTTAATAATTTTTTTTAAAAGCATATCTCATGATTTATAATTATACTAAAGAAAATGAAAATTTGAGAGTAATTTAATAGCTATTACTAATATGTGCTCCCCATTAAAAAAAAAATAATTTTTGGCTCCACCCCTTGAAGTACCTAGCATATAGTAGCTATGAATTTAGGATTTGGAAGTGAGATTTTTAGAGTTTTCATGATTTAAAATTTATTACTATATGCATATACTTAAAGCGGATGATATGGGAATGATGACGGGCTTGATCATAAATATCAACAAGGTGGATATTGAGTATGATTATAAATCTTAATTATGTTATACATATTGTGAAATATGTGTATAAAAAAAAAATTAATTATTATGATTCAAGACGACGAAGATGATACCCTATATGGGAGGTGGAACAATATATTTTTCTTTGAATATATGTTAGTTGTATAATTCTGATAGTTAATGAGAGAGATAAATTTATGATGTAATTGGTAGGGATGTCAAAATGGCTTTTGGGATCGGATTCGAGTCAAACTTGGAGTTGACTCGGGTTTAAACAGGTCGACTTGAACTCGACCCGTGAGGGTTATAAGGAGGATGACCCGACTTGACTAGTTAACCCATGTGCGGAATGTGCGTACGCGATGTGATTGTGCTGTCTGGGACCTCTGGGTGCAGAGTCAATGGACTGCGGAATTCGGATGCTAGGCAAGACAATGAGAGCAATGCGGGTCCGGATGTGAGGCGATTGGTAAGTGTCCGACTGTCCCAGTACGGTACTACCATTCTAGAAGCCTGAAACTGTGGAACGCGAGTGCATATGTGATGAGTCAGGTGCAATCTGTGTGGATGCACAAACATTTAAAAGGGAGCAGGAAGCTAGCAGAGACAAAGTTGTGCGGGGACGGAAGGTGGGTGGGCAGCCGAGTCAAATTTGGGATACCGTGTTGACCTAGACTCGACCTGTTTTTAAACTAGTCGAAAATTGAAATTCGAACTCGACCCGTTTGTTAAACTGGCCGACCCGAATTAGAATTTTTGGGCCGAGTTATCAGGTCGTGTCAATGATTGACACCCCTAATAATAGGATTTTGAGCATTGGCGAGCGAGGTGATGATTGTTGTGTACTATATCATTTGATTGTTGACATGATATAATTTGTACCTTACCATGGTTGGCATAGGAAAAATATGACATTATATGATAAGATTAGTCAAAATCTAACTTGTTTATATATATATTTCAAATTAATCTAGCTAAAAATGATCGAATAAATATACGTTTGTATTTGATTCATTTAAACATCTAGCTCAAAATATCTGTCCATATTTGATTCATTTTCTTAATAAAAATAAAATTTATTAGCAATCTAAATACAAACTAATCAATAATAATCTTTTATGGCATTCCTATCTCTTAGGATCAATTAAAGAAAATCAATTTATTTCCCATAATTTTTAAAAAAGCACATCTCTTCCTAGCATGAAACTCTAATTAAATATTCATTAAATTAATTGGAGCAGTACAACACTACAACATCACTATCACCCAAAGAGCAGTACAATTAATCATTTATGCTGCTAAGCAACAAGCCTTCATTAAAGTTTCATTTGGGACGATTTTTTTGTTGCTTCTTAAAGCAATTTTTTAGTACAAACAATTTAATTTTTATACTAAAAAATCATTTTGAGAAGCAATAATAAAGCTGCTCCAAACGCAACCTTAGTCATATCTTTTTAGGGAAACCCTTTTTAGGAACATTATTAGGTTCGGACATCGGATGTAGAGATACGTCCGGTGTCCAATAAAATATTGATATGTGGAATGTACACGTGTCCGTGAAATTTTAAGTTAAGCGCTCTAAAAGTGCAGGTAAAACGTAGGTAAATCGCAGTCAAAAAGCGTAATTAAAATGCTGTTCAATCGAAATCAAAACACTGTCCATGTAACAAATTTTAATTGCATATCCGGACCTATTTTTAGATCCGATGTCCGGACCTAATAATTTTCAGTGTCCCAACTTATGCTGCATACATTTCAAATCAATCATTCTATCCAAAATAATGTATGGCTTGAAAATACTTTTTATTAAATTTTATTGCTTTAAACAATTAAAATAATGAGCTGGATATTTCGAAATAATATTCTCATAATCATCAAATTAATGTTAACTCATAATAGTATGCATATATATAAGAAAATATTCATTAATTTTTTTTACAAAGAATTATGAAAATTATGAATGTATATAAAACCAACATTCAACCTTAAAAAATAAATTATGCTGTGATTGGGAATTTAATTTAAGTGAAAAATATATATAATGTTTTTTTACACACTTAGGGTCTTGAATGGTCATATTTCAAATGGAATTTGTTGGAGCTAATTTTATAAATAATTAAATTTTTAATGCCATATGTAAAAATACCCCAAAACAAATTAAAATGTCATATAAAAAACTGGAAATTAACTCTAATGAAAGGCCTCATTTAGAACAATTTTTGTAATACTTTGTAATCTTAGTTTATGTTTGATATTTATTTTTTTCATTGCTTTCAAAAATTTCTTTTGCTATAAAGACATTTTTTTATAACTTAAAAAAAAAACTTTCTTCACAACAATTTTATAATAAATTTTATAAAAAATTGCAGCCGTGCCAAATAGATGAAGTTATTTTGTGCGGATACGGAAGATGTAAGCGAATCAGAGTGCACCACGTCATCATTTGCTGTGTACCGCGGATGTGTACCCGCTGTACATAAGGTACTGTGACGAGTTTTGATTCTCCTCCGGACGGTCTGATGTCCGCACAGAATAGTTTTTTCCCAAATATATCTTAAATTTTCTTCTATCATGTAAAATACTTTTTCTTAAATTGATTTAAGAAAAACATTTTATGCAAGAGAAGAAACAATTCCAAGAAAAAATAAAAATAAAATGATCATAATGGCAGTACAGAAGGTTTCAGAATTTGGTACCAGTATAACATATGCAGTACAAAGGAAAAGCAGTGGAAAGTACTTGATGAACTCCTGATTAAATTCATGACCGAAGGCATATATATATTAATCCATTCTATATAAAAGCAGGAACATGAAGAAGATAGCAAAGGGAAGGGAGGCCTCAAAATCCAAATCCATGAGAGCATTCGAAATACAGATCAAAGGCATATTTGAGGGCAGCGTTGATGAGATCCACATCTGTAGCTCCATCTCCTTCGCTTCAGGATAAAGAATGTTGGGATCTTGTCATCGCTGCACTCAATCATGACTTTGATCTGTTCAGTGACATGGTTTCATTTAGGTTTTTCAGTTGCAGAATCTATTTAGAGATTAAGTTCTTTTATTCTTGCAGAATGTTTTTATGCTTAGCTTGGGTACAGACAATGGGAGCTCAGCTGACGAAGACTCGGTTGCCTGAGCATGGCCATGAGTTGCAAGCTGAAAAGAATGCAGGTAACGGTTCTTTCTTACATTGCTCAAAGCTTTCTCCACCACTTCTGCAAGCTTCCAACAAGCTATATTCCTCTCTTGCATTTAAACCAGCTCTCTACATTTCTTCCTATATTGCAGAACTCTCAGATGCCACTAAGGCTTTGTTTTTGACGGTTTTTTTATTGCTTCTTAAATTTTAATTTTTTATTAAAAAATTATTTTAAAAAATAGTGAAAAAGCCGTGCCAAACGAAACCTAAACTTCTCCTCCCCATTCCATGCAACATGCCCATTTAAGATATATGGCATGCTAATATTTTGATAAGCTAAGAGATGGTTATAATAGTTCATATTCTAAGAATGTTATTAATATTAGGATTACTAGCTCTATGTTATAACCTAATGTTCTATGAATAATTGTAGTTTATTCTTCTTGTGAGAAAGCTATAAAAAAAATGCTATTATACATAAATAAGTATTGTCTTGGGCTGTTGTATATGAAAAAAGTGATGTAAGAAAGTCTTGTTTTATCTATTTGTTTTGAAAACTTTTTTATTTTTGTGGAAATAAAGTAACAAGATAATACTTTTCAATTCTATCCATCAACTTTTTTTTTTAGAATGAATGTATCTATTCGTTGCCACTCCAAATGGAGCTCTTGACGGTGTAACTAATCCCTTTACTGAATCTAACAAAGCCACCCACCGGCATCGGACCCACAGTTACTTTGCCTCATTGAAGAGGCGAGACCGTAGTAGAGGGTATTCGAACCTAGAATGGGGGGTTCCAACATTGCTTGCCCACCAACCATCCTAAGCCTTGATGAGTCTACCCATCATTTCATTTGATCATGGCTTCTTGTCATTACTCTCATAAGATTAGTTGAGCAGATTAGTCAAGAATGTAATAAAGTGATATCAGAATTTTAGAAGAGCATTAAATAAGAGAAAAATAGATTATGGTAGAGCTGTGAAATCCTTTAAGTAAGAAGAAGTTAAACTTTTAAACATCAAGATGTTTTTTTAGTGTAATAATTAAAATTTCATCAAGAAAAATCAAACTTAAGCTTGCTCATGCCAGAACAATTCTAACATTAATGATCTCCTTATAAATTACACCAACGGGATAAAAATGTAAAGTCATTAGGCCAAAACAAACAATACCTCAATAGCTAAGAGTTTGTGCTATTACAAAAGGTGACCACACAATGTTCAATTAATTTACATTAATTTGTATTTTGTATTTGAATATACTAATATTTGATCATTTTAGGTAATGGACAATAGAGGACATGACGTTTGAGATGAAGCAAGTTTAAAGCATGAATATGTGGATCACACTTGGTAAAATTATTCTGTTTGTATATGGACGTTGTCAGGTGGTGAATCAGAATGAGCCACACCCCTTGTTTTGTTGTGTACCACGATTGTGTACCGCTATGTATCGAGTGATGTAGCGCATTCTGATTCACCTCTGAATAATCCAGCGTCCACACAAAATAATTTCTCTCACACTTTACCCCCTCAAACTACACAAGCGCAGGGTAAACAAGGCAAGGCTTATTTTAATGATCACCCAATTAGTAATATTGTTTGACAGGAATTTGTGAGTTATTTTAAGAACGTTTTGTTCTTTTCTCAGTGTGCTTTTAATATGCATAATGAACTAAAAATCATCTGATTTAGTATGGGAATCATTGTATTATAACATAAGGCAAGATTTTTCTGGTTGAACAACATGTACCTAAAATCATAGCAATGGAGGAACAAAGGTGATATATGCTTTAGAAAACAGTCAGATATTCTATTGAAGATTACTTAATTTATTTAAAATATAATTAGTTTAAGGAATTGAATAAGGCTACATGCCTATTTAAAAATAATCAAATAATTAGTTCAAGCTATAAATTAAGAAAGAAAGAGGAAGAAGTTTGTACTCATCATAACAGAATTTTTAAGAAATCTTATTCTTGTAATTCTTATCACAATAGCTCAGCTCTTCTTGATCTGTTAGTTTAAAATTTTGACTATCAACAAAAATCTTGAGCTCAAATCTTACGTATAAAAGTAATTGTCATAATGGAGGTTTACAACAATTTTATCGTAGTATTGGGAATGCTATTGGGTATTATTGTATGTTATAGTCAGACATTGTTTTCTATGCAAGCTATCAAAACATTTTGGTTGAGATTATTCAAATAATGCTTATTATGTTTCAAGAAACTCATTTAGGATCCGCTCAGGACGATTTAGGTTTCATTTTGGGACGGCTTTCTTTATGTTTCTTAAAGCAGCTTCTTAGTATAAAAATTAAAAAAATTTGTAGTAGGAAGCTGCTTTAAGAAGCAGAAAGAAAACCGTCTCAAACGAAGCCTTAATTTTTAATAAAAAGTGCTTGTCCAATTACTGTATATATATATATATACTCCTTCGATGTTATCCCAAGGAGGATCTGCCCAAAAAGCAATAGTACAATCAAGAGAAGAAGAGCTGTTCAAGAAGCAAATAAAAGTGGCCTTCCTCCATATCTACAACTCAAGTTCGGGTGAAACAAGAAAGACAACATGTAGCAATCGAAAAATTCGTTAAAAATATTGTAACAAGTGAGGTAAGTTTATGTGTAGATCCAAAATTAGAGAAGCCTGAACTCCAACTATGGGTTTTACCAAATTACATGGCAGCTTCAGTCATATTGACATCGACATTGGCAGAATTTTCTGAGTGACAACCTGGGGCTTAATCTGCCAAGAAGCAACCAGCTCTGACTCTTCAGGCAAGATGAACGGTTTGGAGATATCTCTGATCATTAATTCACCACAAAAGGGGCACTCACTAGCTACAGCCTCATCCAATTGCGACCGCAACTGCCATAGTGATTTGAATCCATAAATAAGCATCCAGACCAAACAAAAATCCAATTTAATGCATTAAATTTTACACCATACTGACATTGTTGGCAGATATTGTGCTTGCAATAGAATCTCCACTGGTACTAGTGCCTGCATCCTTCGTTACCTTCCCATCAAGCAGACTGATCTGCTTCTGAAGTTCCAGTATTTGTTCTGCCTAATACCAGCATATAATTCAAGAAAGTTTACGAAGAATTCAAACTAGGATTTATTAGTTGCCATTGAAAGGCCAATGCAAGAGTTTAGTATCTACTACCGCTGCAAATAAAATTTGGCTACATTCAATGACAGGAACCAGTGCGAACAAGAGTCAAATTATCTTAAAAATGCTCAATGCAAAGTTATCGAATTAAAGCTCAGATAACGCCAGGCAGTCAAAGCCCTTCCCAATTTAAATTTCGGATCCTTTTCTCATTTGTTCTACAAATCTACTTTAATTGAAGAATTCGTGCAACTAAGGCTTCGTTTGGGACGGCTTTCTTACTGCTTCATAAAAAAACTTAGTACAAAAATTAAAAAATTTATGCTAAAAAGTTGGTTTAAGAAGGAGAAAGAAAGCCGTCTCAAACGAAGCCTAAGTGATTGATCTAATGCTTTATTACAAAGGTACAGGGTGGCTAAAAAATCTATGGAAGCCTTGAGCTTTTTCTCGACTAAAAAAAATTGAAAAAATGCAATAGAATTGTATGTGTTAATTAGGTAACATATGTGTTAATTAGTTAACTTGTTTTTAGACTGATCTAGAGGCACCAGCATATGGTAGAGAGCTGTGGATTTAAAATTCAGAACAAGGCCCAATAACAAAATACAGGAATGTTCATAACCAAGCAAGCACAATGAAATAGAACTTACGATACAGAAAAGTTATTTGACTTTGACATCTGCAGAAGATGAATTATAAAGTCCAAAGACTGATAAATATCAAAGTGTAAAACAACAAAGTTAAACCAAATTTTCCAAAGGTTGAACAAAAAATCTTTAATTTTAAGAAGAAAAGCTGAAATTCATGGAACAAGACTAAAAATGAAAAGTTGACTACAACATATTTTTTTCGGTGTTCGTAAATCATTTTACTTACTTGACTTTGAGAAGAACACTGGGTGACATGAGTTATCAGGCATTGTGCATGGAACGAATGTCCACAAGGGAAAACATAAAAAGGAGTCATTGGTCCAACTGGCAGATAACCTCTTCTCATCTGATGAGCCCCTCCAGTGGATAATATTTTACGTTTACAAACCTGATAAAACATTGTTCATGTTAGAGAAAGATTAGCTGTTCCTCTAAGATACAATTCACTTTTTAAGAACTGGCGATTCTACTGCTTGCACCTAAAAGTACCATCTAGTTTTTCATAAATTAATTTGATCCTAAATTCAATTAAAAAAAAACATGAGAAGCAAAGCTAAAATTAAGATTATCGTCTTGAGAACTAGGATTACCGGTTTATGTTTTTGTACATGATGTGCAAAAGCCTTTTCCAATCATCAATGCGGGAGAAATTATTCCGTGCTGAGTCCGGATGGGAAGAACCGTCCGGATTGTGAGTTTACATATTGTGTATAAAAAGTTGATGTACAGTGTATAAATGTGTACACTGTGTACACTCATATGTCTGAACGGTTCTTCCCATCCGAACTTCGCACGGAATAATTTCTCTCAAAGCAGATAGTCAACATCAAGGCAGTGCAAGTACGCATTCACCACGGTAAATAAAGCAAGATATTCTACATACTCCAGAGAGAAGGAAAAGGAATATGAACTTCTGAAGAGTAATTACAGTATGCATGTTATGATTTAAAATAGATCGATAAATAATAATGTACAAATCGGCAGTATAACAAAGATAAAAGTTTGGTTAATACTCCACATTCTTCATCACGTTCAACAACAGCATATCTTTGAGCAAGGGCGGTGATATCACTCCTTATGTTATCAGCACCACGTGTAGCATCATTCATTTCCTGTTTTAGTAACTCAATCTGTTTGTTGTAGTCCGCCAGTGACGAGCAAATTGCTTCCTGCAATTAGTAAAGAAAGAAATATTGAACATATATGGACCAAGATTGCCTTCACAGAAGTGACTTTAAGAGTCTAAACCAGCAAATTGTTAAATCGAAATTCACAGAATTATAATAGAAAATTTTACTTCATGCTAAACAGCAAGAGTGATCCTGGATCTACTCCGTACAAAGAAAAATGTTTATTCAAATACCTTAAAAATTCTATAGCCGCCCAAGCCCCAAGACTTTTGAGTAGATTCACCGGTTAAGGATACTGGAGAAATTCATTCAAGTGCTAAGGTACAAAGACTTTAAGCATGTAGAGCGATGCTTTTAGTTAGATTTTATGTAAGTGTAGCACCGATGCATTTTGTAATTCTAATGGTTGGGTTAAGAAAGGAGTTTTAGGCTTTGTTTGGAAAGAATTTCTTACTACTTAAAACAGCTTTCAAGTACAAAATTTGTAACTTTTGTACTAAAAAGCTGTTTTAAGAAGCAATAAGAAAGCCGTCCTAAACGAAGCCTTAGTTTCTTGCACATCGTAATCTATAGAGTTGTGAAGGTACAGATTTTAAGCATATATACACAATGTACCTTAGATTTAGCCTTTCCGATCGTTTTCAAAACTCTATTTTCTGAACTTTGGTTTTTCAAGATCAAAAGTGATGACAAAATCTATATGCATAAATAAAACATGCCCACAAACATATCATGAAACAAATCAAGTGAAACAGTAAATTATAAACATATTGAAACTGACATAAATTGTAACCATCAACTTCCTGAACTTTAAACAGTAATGAATGCTAGAAGTTTTTGATTTATTTATTGCTAGATATAAAACAAACTACCATTGCAGGCTACCCTTATCTAACCAGCTAGAATATGCAAAGAAATGTGATAGCACCTAACCAGCTAGAATATGAAAAAGAGAAAAGTGATAGCACCGCTCCGAACAATGCTTAAGGCAACTTGTTTTATATTGTATATTACGTAAAAGCCCTAAGGTTTCAATTCATAGCTCATGCAAATGTTACTCAGAAAATACATGACCTGAAGTTTTGGAACCATACTTTAAAATCATCAATAAGTGCGAAGTCTGGGAAAAATGGAAGAATATCCTCAATCTTCAGAAGCCCATCTGTTTCCTTCAGAAATGCAATTGCCTTTCTTATATTCTCCCTCTTGATTCCTTTTTCCAACTGAATCACATGCTTAGCCACCATAAGCCATAGCTTCTTCCTCAGATCCTCATCATCCTCAACTTTATCTGCTTCAGCCATTGCGAGCTCTGGGTCTACCTAGTGGACCAATTTACAGTGAAATGACTAGAAACAGCAAGATAACATAAATATTGAACCAAAATAGTCTGTATAAATTATTCAAAGAAGTTGAAAATGATGGAAGTAATAGAAAATAACAAATGAAAGAACTTGCACAATGAAACATACAATTACAAAGGTGTATGGAAACCCCAAAAACCAATAAACTACTTATACTCGTGGATTCATCAGAAAATTATAGGGCCATCAGAAGGTCGATAACCATTAACACGTGTTATGCCCAGCCACTAATAGGGGGGTCAACTGCTAGAACATCTCCCAAAAAAAGAAGATTATGGGGCATCTTATGAAACAAATCTGGCACAAACAACTGACAGGGAAGAATTTAAAAAGAAGTGAGCAACCGAAAGAAAAAAAAATACCAGGAACCTACACTTTTTTGGAAGAACTAAATAATTTTGTATCTCTCAGTAAATTCATGTTCTTTGTTTGCAGCGTTCTAAACATGGGTAAAGAAAATACATCACAAATTGAAGCCA